TCGTAAGAACAACATTACAACTTTTACTCACTAAATTAATTATAGTTCCTAAAAAGGTTCGTTAACTACGGGGCAACTAATCTTGCCCCATTAAGGGAAACCATACAACATCATACCAACTAACGATATAACACATTCATTCCTACACAGACAAACCTCGTCCCTAACATTTATCGATTAACGAGAACTATATCTATGATTCGATTCCCCACCTGAATTCGATCAAGTAAGAGCATAATAACAACATTTTCTCAACAAATGGGAAATTAGCGCGTGTCGGCGCCGACTCTCAACATTACTACCCTTAATATTTCTCAACCTACGGGAACATTTACCCTTAATATTGCTCAACCTACGGGAACATTACTACGGGAACATTACTACGGGAACATTGCTACGGGAACATTGCTACGGGAACATCACTACGGGAACATTAACCCTATGATTCAATTTTCTACATGAAATCGATCGTACCCACAGTTATAGAATTGAACCCCACCCTTACCTTAGAATAAAGGCCAATTCCAAGCTTCCGGTTCTGGTTCCGTTCTACGACAACTCTCCTGCAACTATCTTCCAATTTCACCGATGGACAATTCTTCTGTTCTTACTTTCTCTATAGCCACGTCCTTTTCCTCTTTCCTCAACTTTTTCCTCAATTTATGTTTTTTGAGCAGTTTATCGTGGTAATCCTCTTTCTCCCACAACTTCTCTAATAACTCCCTTCTCTCATTCCATCCAATAATATTCCAAATAATAATAATAATAATAATAATAATAATAATAATAATAATAATAATAATAATAATAATAATAATAATAATAATAATAATAATATTACTACTAGTTATTACATTATCATCATTATTAATTATATTATATTATTATTAAACTCAATAATTTATTAAATGATTTCCTATACTTTAAGGACACCCACTAACGCTCTCAGGCACCCTCCCACATAAAGGCACACCAACAACTCATAAATAGTTCAATTTAAAAAGAATGGGCATTATATGTAGGTAATGAGTTGTATGTTGTTCTTGGATGAAGCTATTAAGAAAATTCAAGTATTAGTGTTAGTCAAGAGTATTGACTGAATATTATGTTAAAAGGGATGTCTTTCAATTGAATAGTTTAATACAATCACCGAAGGTTGTGACTATTAGATATCAATGATGTGATTTAGTAATTGAGATGAGTTTCTCTTATCTAGATGGGTTTCCAGGTAGAAGTTGTACTAGGTAGGGATTAAGTGGCGAATTATAAACCAGAGGTTGTTTAGCTCTGAATTAATACTATGATAGTAAATTCATTCCTGGCTTGGTAGCCCCTAGATGTATGTGTTGTTATACATCGAACTGGGTCATCATATCTTGGTGTTTTTTTTCATTCTGCTATGTATATTGCAGTTTATTCTCTTCTAAAATTTATGACATAACAAATGTTGAAACATCAATTAGGACACTATTGTGACTTATGCTCTTGTTCTGTCGTTGTTTAGTTAATCAGAGATCAATGTCTCGACATCTCTTGGGACATCTGAGATCTGCATACCAAAATTTCACTTTTTACTTGGCTTAAGGTAAACTCGAAACTACTAGCAGAACAACTAGTCCCTTTGAGTCTGTTGCAATGATTCTTCTTCTAAAGACGATTAGTTCTTCTGGACAGAAGTGACACTCTATCTTCATCCTTTTTAGCTGATGAAATTATGGTCTTCTTCTGATGTTCTGATAGATTTAAGCATAACAAATTTCCTCTCATCTGAGTTATACTACTTTAGCTTAATCTTCATGACTTATCAAAACAAATTCACCAGCTATTCTGGAGAGCGTTGTTGTAGATCTTCTGCATGCTCAGGTGATTACAATATGCTTCCATTTGGATGACATGTTTCTGATAGTCTTCTTCAAGATATTTGATGAAGAGTGAACCTATGTTTAGAACTCTAAGTCCCGCAACCATGGTTTGAAAACTTTATAACAAGATTTCAACCGTCTTCAACATCCTTCATCTTGAAGTCTCCATACGTCTGAATCAAAACACGAGCATTTATTCTCTTGACTTAAAAGAGTTCTTAATGAGTCAATCTGAGAAAGTCAAATGTAGACTTAGCAGTCTTTATTTGAAAAGATCTCATACTCAGTAAGAATTGACTTTCAGTAAACAAGAAATCTTGCTTTCTAATGATTCTTGTCATCCTTTTCCAACTGATCATTCATATTTACTTTCAATCTTTTTGCCAGTGTCATCATAGAAAGATATGTAGTCATCAACTACTAACTTTAAGGATTAGTAACACAACCTAAATAGAACCTTTCTAGTTTATCTTTCTGGTACTAAACCTTTTCGCCATCAATGATGGATGAAACAATAATGCATATGTTTCTAGCATTTGAGACTGAAACGGTATGAGGTGGAGATCAATCACCAAAGTGTTTCTCAAAACTCGTCTAGATCTTTATCTAACATGGTTAAGTGTTTGATAACTATCAATACCAGAACCAAAGCTCTGATACTAATTGAAGGGGCGAGAAACATAAGAAATTGGGGGTTTGAATCGGGTTTCACCAAATTTGATTTTCTTCTCAAACTTCAAACATCAAAGTTAATAAGAATAAAAATCAATAGAACACCATTATTTTTATCCTGGTTCACTATTAACAAAGTTACTCTAGTCCAGCTGTCAAGGTGATTTCGCCTTCAAAAAGGACTTAATTCAATAATCTTGAAAGATTACACAAGTTACAACAACTCTAACCGACCTTGTTGCAAAATACAACTTAGACTAACTGTCCTTGTTGCAAACCACAATGGATAACCTCCACTGTCTTCATGAGAATTCTGACTATACCCTAGTCTCTCAAGGAACTTTCAACCACTGCTGATTACAAATATGTATATGAGAAGATGCTTTTAGATAAGCAGATTACACAAGTTTAAGTATAATAACACAAAAGTATTTATAGCAAGATATGAACAAAATTTCCTTGCTAATCTACACAACTATCTTAAAAATAATCTCTAAGAGATTTGCAGCGTATCAGCATGAGTTTTGTTGAGCTTAAAAGCTTCTTTTAATGCTCATCCCTTTTCTTGTAGAGTTGCGCTCTATCTTTCTTGTGGAGCTACTAGCTACTTTTGTTGAGCATTTCACTATTTTTGTTGAGTAACAAGCTTCTTTTGGTTGAGTAGAAAGCTTCAGTTTCGTTCAGCATAGTCTGCTATTTTTTAAATGCTTCCAAGTCTTCCTTTTTATAGCTTTGGAGATATATTTGTTGAAGGGTATAATAGGAAATATATTCCAATAGTAATTTCCCAACGGTCACTTGAAGGAATGATCAACATCATCATACAAAAAAGTCGTCCTAGCGCCACCTTTTCTAGGTAGAGGTCACAACATACTTTTGTACTTTTATATTCATCAAATCACACAAACCATTTATGATCTCCAGCCTTCTAGTTCTTCATAGGCTTCATATGTATATTTGATGAAGCATGTGGTAGAAGGATCAATACTTGTAACTTCAAAACCAAAGTCTTTAGAGTCTCCAAAAATCGTTGAGCAGAACCTTGTCTTTGGAGTCTTCAACACTTGGTCTTTAGAAGTGATGTCTTTAGAATCTTCAGAACTCGTTCAGCAGAACCTTGTCTTCAGAAACTTCAAAACTTGGAGCAATAGAAATAATATTTTTATACTCTTCAGAACTCGTTCAGCAGAACCTTATCTTTAGAAACTTCAGAACTTGGATCAATTGAAGTACATCTTTAAAGAGCCTTTCAAGCTTTACACACTAAGTCATGATCAGAAACTTTAGTACGACGTTTTTCAGAACCGTTGTATCAGAGACATTCCCGAATCATAACAAGTAACCAACATATGTTTCTTCTAGAGTGATGAGTTCAGAGTCTGATGACGTCACACGTCATTCCTTCGGAATATGTTTAGCAAAAACAACACGCTAGAAAGAAATCATTAGAGTACATAACTGTTCTCTAAAATATCATGTACAATTATCATCAAAACTTCAAGATCAAATGCATAACAAATCTTGTTCTTACATAAATGACTCTAAACTAAAAGCTCACACTCTGATCTAGATCAATCAGAAGCAAAATTTAAAAATTTTGAGAAAAATCAACACAATTCAACCTATTTCTTGTGTTTTTCTCACCTTCAAACACGTTTAAAGATTTTTTAATAATCATCAACTTTACTATATAAACAACTAAAACAATCATTCTAGAACATCGTGACATAAAAAATAACATCTATTAGTGACACAAAGGATAACAACTAAGCATAACAGTGAATATTTAACATCTTTAATGTAATGTAATGTTTAGTTCATTATTTTTTGCATAACAGTGAATATTTAACATCTTTAATGTAATGTAATGTTTAGTTCATTATTTTTTACAAGTCTTTTGTTCATACTTATAATGAGAGTTCTTTTTCATTTTCACTTAATACTTTTGAATCTCAAACAGCTCCATCTGCAATACCCTATGTGCACTAGCGCAATAGTAATCAGTGTTGCAGTTGTTACAAAAACAAAATTGAACATGAATGTGCATTAGAGCAAATGGTAAAGGCGTTGTAGATTTTTTTTCTTCTAAACCCTGTTGTTTATATGGGTTGGTTCTAGCTATTGTGAGTGACAATTGGATTAATGAATTTGGTTGGTTCATGGTTCAGTGCACAACAAAATTGGTGGAAGAAAGGGGAGGGTGTGTGACACTTCTTGGTGCAACAAAATTGATATTAGGGTTGGTTTTAGCAACATCTTTGGCACATTTATCGAAGATGTTTCATGTGTGGCACTGTGTTGTTTTATTTGGACTAAAAAAAATAAAAAATATTAAATAGGGGATAAAAAATCCATTTAAGCCAAAAATAAAATAAAGAGAAGAAGGGAGAAAAGAAAACAAGGGAAGTTCGTCACCGTTTGTTTAGAAGCTGAAAGTGTTCAGCCGCTTCTTCGTCGGAAGCTTCAATGTCGGGAGGAGGACCATCTCGCTCCGCCGGTAAACGCCCCTTTCAAGAAGACGATGACAATTCCGATCAAAATCAACCGTAATTTTCTCCTTCCTTTTCTCAGCTCTCAAACCCTAATCCTAATTAAACCTCCATGATTTTATCCATTCTGTATCATATGCTCTACGTATGTTCCTTTTGTTGGATTTTTCTTCGGATTGTTATGTTGAGTTTCTTGAACTTGATTTTATGATAGTTGATTTGAATTTATTTATTTATCATACAGAGAAAAGAGGGTTATGTTTCCAAAGAAAAAGAAAGGGAAGCAAGTAGATATAGTAGTGGAGCAAGTAATTGTTGAGGAGAATGTGAATGATTTGTCGAACCCCCGTGTTGCTGCCAAAGAGCGAGTGAAACGCAGGAGGCAAATTACTGCTGAGCTCCTGAGTGAGGAGGATGGAGGTATCGCTGAAGTGACTTATGAGGTTTGTTTTTTAGGGTTTACTTTGAGTTATTATTACATTGATAGATACTAGTAGTGTTTTTAACAAAAGATTAAAAAATTTCTTGCTGAATGAATTATTTGAATTTTGAACAAATAAATAAAAAAAAGTTATGGTGATCAGTAACTAACCAATTTGCAAAAAATGGAGTTACTTGGGAATTTCAATTTTCAGCACTTGGAATGTTTCACAAATTGGCAATGCTTGGGAATAGTATATTTTTTCTAAAATAATTTCTATTTGTTGTATGGAGTGTTTGTAATGGATTCTAGTAGGCCTAAATTATATGCTTGTGAAGTTTGTAGCCAGTTGGTTTTTGTTCAAATGCACTTTCAAACTGTGATTCTCTCCTAAATTGGTAATAATTTTATATTCAATTTGTTTCCATGTTCATGTGTTTTTGGGTTCATATAAAGGATAGGCAAGCAAGCAGTGATTGGTAATGTGTGTTGGCAGGATAATGAGGATTTTGTTGATGATGGGATTCAAATTGAGCCTTTCAACCTAGCTAAAGAAAGGGAAGAAGGTTATTTTGACGCATCCGGGAATTTTGTTGAATATGTAAGAGATAATGAGATTAAGGTGAGGTACTTCTATTTTCTAGTATTTTTCATATTCTATTCATGACTATTTCTTTTTTAATCTATTAATAAGTTGTCAAGGATTCTTGCAGGATGCATGGCTTGACAATGTTGAGGTTGATCCTAGATATGCTGAATTAAGCTCTGCAACAAAAAATGATGAAGAGGAGGAGGTCCAAGAACTTTCTTCTAAAGATGTGGCAATCATGAAGAGGCGCATTGCAAATGTTCTTGAATCAGAGGAAACAGTATGTTCCATCATTCAATTTATTCTTAGATCTGATTGATTTAAGAGAACGAGCTAATCCTTCTGTAATTAGTGAAAATAAGAAATGAAAACAAAAAATATTTTCTCAAACCAAACAAACCCTTAGTTTATTGTTTTGTAATATGTTGTCTTTGTTATATTAAAGCATCATTATAGAATGTGACATTTATTTGTTTTCTGTGTGGCAATGGAGTTTCTTGTTGAGAGAATTTTTACAATATTTAGTGGTTAGTTTATTCTCTAAATGTATAAAGAATGTGTCATTTTGAAGTTGGAACAAGGGACTGGCGAAAATGAAATAACTGGAATTTGTTGTAAATTCCATAGCAGGCTATTCAATGTCACTTTAAACCTGACTCGTTAGTGTTTTTCTCTCCCTCATGGTTAGCAGAGAAAAACCATGTTATCCCCTGTTTACCCTAAAACAGGGGTTACTGATGTTCTTAAAAATAAAAGAAGCAAATTATTGTGGTAGGAAGTTATAGCTAAGCTTGTAACTAACTATCATTGTTAATTTTATATAATATTTAATTGCTTTCTCTTAAAGTCTTGCCATTGGAAATCACTGATTGGCAATAGAATTTATGTACATATTTACATTTATTTTGTTAAGGGATGTTGAAGGTCATTTGTTGGTTTGTTTTGATTGATATTTTTTTTTTTCAATAGGTCTTGCAAGGTTTGAGAAGGTTAAAAGGCAGCGGTGATAGAAAGACAAAAATGTCCGGTGAGACTAAGATTGTGTTTGACCAGCTAACTGAGGATGCTATGAAGCTTATGGAGAATGGCGAATTCAGTAAGTCATTCTCATTAGGCTTTGTAAATAATATCAATGGTTAATACATGTATTCATTATGGTAGCCTGATGGGACCCTTTATGTTGTCCAGCTTCTTTGTGTTTTCCTTATGTTCGTCCGTCTATGTTTCTTGCAGATGTTTATCATGAAAATAAAGAGGTTTTTGAGCGCGAAGCAGGTTAGTGTATTATATAATGCCTTTGTTATATTTTTATTAAGATTTGAGACATGAGTTGCTTTATTAACATGATGGAATATGCTGCTTAAAATTCATAACTTGATATAATTATTAACTGTTCAGCTATGTCTTTTGATGACATAATTCTATTCCACTTATGTTCATATTATGACCGTGATTTGAAATGAAATATGTTGCCCTATCATCATAGTATTATGATAGCAATAAAACTATTTTTTGAACCATCTTATTAAGCCAAGATTTAGGGGAGATTGGTCCTCGGCAGTATTTAATCTCATAATTTTTCTTGTCTCTTCTTTCACTAGTTATGATATCGATGTATAGCTTTACAAGGAATATGACACCTGTTTCCGTAGGATCACTAATTGCTAATGCTTATGCTTTTTACAATCTTTTTCAGAGGGATATGAGAAATTAGCCAGGGCAAGAGGAGAAGGCACATCCACGGACACTCCAAATCCACCTTTGGCTAGTGCTGATGATTTTGATATGTTTGCTGATGATGATGAGCTTGCTGCCACTGAACCATCTACTCTTGAAAATAATGCAGTTAGTGAACCACCATCAGACGCCGTTAATTCTGATACAGAGGGTATAAACATTGCCTCTATAAATTTAACATCTGAACTGAAACTTTTTTTTTCTGAATTTTATCTTTATACTTATAACTGGTTCCACTTTTCTTTCTAGGCGGAGCTTTGCAGAGCGATTATGTGTATGACGAATCTTCTGGGTACAATTTTTCTCTTATACTTTTTTTTTTGGAAATAATCTAAAATAATATACATTGTTCACCTATGTTTTAATGCTGTAAAACTTCATTTAGAACTCATTTTTTCTTTTCCTTGATGAATTCTTTTATGAAAAAGTTACACTGAAAGTTCGATCTGACATCGATTCATTTATTGGTCCAGGTATTATTACAGCAGCAGTTTGGGCTATTATTATGACCCAAATACAGGGCTTTATTGCTCTGCAGAATCAGGGACATGGTATTGTGTATTGATGATTCGTCTTAGTGCATGTCATGTGTCATTTTTTTATGTTTGTAGTATCTTTATTAGCCATCTGAAACATGCCTTTAGACGGGAATGCTTTGCTCCTTTGTTTAAATCCTAATTCTATTCCGGTTAGATAGATATTCTTATATGGAGGAAGCTATATCAAGAAACATTTATAATTTGTACTTTACTTTAAGTTTGATCTTGGGTGAAAATTAAAAGACACACGAATGATTCTGCTTGTGGTAGACCTAGATAATAATATGCCAATAGTTAGAGAAGGAAAGCAAAGAAAATTATAGCTCAAGCCATTGAGAACCAGATCAGACTTGGTCCATGGTATGCCACTTTTATGAATTTACTCGACCCACCTAATGGAAAAAGGGTTTACTGTATGTTTGTTGCTGATGGTAGACACTGTTATTACCTAAGGAGTAAGAGAATCCTAGAAAAGAGGTGAAATTACCAGTGTCTATCTTTTAACTCAGGCTCTTGAATTTTTGGTATTCAATATTGGTTGGACCTTGTAAAAGTAGCTGGATAGTTTTTTATATTATAAATTAGGTATCGCAGCCCTCAAACCATGTAGAATCACACAAGTGGCAAAGTTCTCCCTCTAGAGTTTTAACATATTTGTATTCTAGGATTCGGTCTTGAGAATTCTGGTTAAACTTTACGAGGTTTTGTCATTTCATTCAAACGCGCTTGAGCAGCAGCAGTAGTAGTAGACGAAGTAGTTTAGTAGTAGTTATTTAGTTTAGTTACTGCATTTTGTGGTGGATTCATTCTTGGTCTTATTGCTCACTGGGAATGTTTATTTTTGTTTTAATACAGGTACTCATTTAATGAGGAGACTGGCAGCTATGATGAAGTTAACCAGGTTGCCACGAATTCGAGTTGAGGGACCTGTTTCAGAAGAGTATAGACAATTTATAGCATATTCACAATCGTTGTCTTCCAGTGGCATTTGTACAGACAGTATGTGGGGCACTTTGTACTTGTTTAGATGCTTACTGCCAGCAGTTTTTCTTCTGCCTTTGCCTCTTTAAGGTTGCTGATTTGTAATGGCTAAAAAATCACCTAAATTGATCCCTTAAAGTTATGAATGATAAACACTTTCCCGTAGCATATTTCCGCGTTGGTGTTCCATCGGAAAAACCCTTGTGATCGTGCCGGATGCGCTCTGGAAATTTTGTGACTGCAAAAACAAACATAGCAGTTGTCAGTTTACACATCAAATTCCTAATCTATTTTTTTTGCTGTCAAATTTAATGTGTCAACCTGCGGTGGGTACTAGACACACTTTACATTAACAGCTAAGTTTTATTCATTAAGCATATTATTAAAACCTCTTTATGAGTGTGAAAGTTTATGCAATTGTTACAGCGCAACAATTTTATCATGCTATATGGAACAATCTTAATACATTAAATAATTGCAATTAATATAATCACTTAGAATGATATTTTTACTTTCTTTTACAATAATTTTCCCTACACCCAACCCTGTCGGTTCTGATATTTTTAATTAATCACCTCTTTGATAATGACATTCTTCATATGCAAAAACAGAAAATTCTCGATTCCCTGGTTTATCGGATTATGCTGTTTATCTTACAACTGTTTACTGGTCCACACAATTCCCAAGATACAGTATTTTTTGGATAACATGAGGAGAATAGAACTGAATCAAAACAGAGAATAACTTTATCAAAAAAGTACAGTAGAATAAAGGTATCATTGCTTTACACCGATATCAAAAGTTATTATTGAACATTTATAGTACTAAAATTTAAGAGTTTGGTTGCGTAAAAACTTAACAAATTATATATATATAAATTTAGTATGAAGTGATACAAACTTAATGTATAACTTTAAAAAGAAGTTATAGTTAAGATAGATTTTTCTAAATTATATAAAACGTTTACATTAATCATAATTATGATTCTATTTTATTATACTAATTTATTTACTTAGAAAATATTTAGAAAAATATAATTACATGCATGTAAAAAAATGGTGTATAAATTAATTTGATTATAAAAAAATAAAAAAATAAATATAGTAATGTAACAATATCTTATGAGACTTGATTTTATATTATATTCTAATCTAATTTATTTTCGGTTGGTGTCTATCTCACGCATAATCACCACCTTCTTCAAACTGTATATCCGAAAGAAAAAAAATGCAAACAGTTCCTAATGTATATGGCACCTCACTTTCTAAAATTGAACCATCTTTATGCGTGGAACCCTAAAGATTCCGATTGATTTTCGCATCCACCACTTTAATCAATGGCGGAGGAAAGTGGAGAAATCAATGGCGGATTCTCGATGGACTCAACCGAATCACGCTGGGTTTTCCATGAAGATGACGAAGATGAAGATGTATCTGATATAGAAGAATACGACGCCGATTTGAGATTGAGAGGACGCACTACTGTAGTGGATTCAGAAGATGAGGATAACCTTGAACAAAAACTCATACGTACTGGTCCTCGAATCGATTCGTTCGATGTTGAAGCTCTTGATGTTCCTGGTGCTCCCAGACATGATTATGAGGTCCTTCCTTTTTCTCTGTAGTGAAAATTTGTAGTTTCTTTTTTTGCTTTTGTTACTAATTTTGGAGTGGAGTGTGGTTTTTTGATGAATTGTAGTAAATTGTAATGCTAGTTTATAAGGTATTTCGTTTTTCAAAGATGATAATTCAGATTGAGTAGAGTTTAGCTATGAAGGACGAATCCTGACACTGGACCCTGGTAATGATTTGAAAAAATTTGAAATTTTTTGAAAAAAATGAATAAATTAAACTAATTACAAGTGTTCAGACACATACACTAAAACAAGTTTTTCTAGTGGTGTCGGTGCTACAGAGGAGTTTAGTTAGTTGTATTGTAATAGCTAGAAAATATTTTGGTGTCTATTTTTTTGAATTTTATTTTAAATCATAAGATAAAATTTCAGAACGGATATCCATAAATGGAAAGTAAGGAGAAGAAAAATATGTATGAAATTTAACATGGTTCAACCTACAGCCTACATTCAGGGCTCAAAAAGAGAGATAATTTACACTATGATTGGTGAAGATTAAACAAGTATCAAGTATTTGCTCAATGTTCTAAATCACGTGTTCTGAAGTCTGATTCACTGTAGTGTGTCTTATTTTTTTTTAGATAAATAGAAACTAACTAGTGATTTTATGATATAGCTACTTTGTAATGTTTAGCATCTAGTGATGATACTCACTTCTATTGTAATTGGATGTTGATCCTTCATCCTTTTGTTTAGTTTATGGATTATATGAAACCTACTCCATAATTAACTGATTCATTGTATAAGCCTTGTGCTCACCCTTTAAAAAAAAACCGTGCTAGTCATTCATAAGAGTATAAAAGTTGTAAAATGTAGTGAAACATAAAAAAAATATACTATATATTAATGTCAATGGTTTTTGTCTTCATAATTTATTGCAGGACATCAGTGTAGGAAAGAAAATTGTATTGGCTTTTCAGACTCTTGGTGTTGTCTTTGGTGATGTTGGAACAAGTCCATTATATACATTTAGTGTTATGTTTAGAAAGGCCCCTATAAATGAAAATGAAGACATTCTTGGAGCATTATCACTTGTCTTGTATACTTTAATCTTGATTCCCTTGCTGAAATATGTCCTGGTTGTTCTGTGGGCCAATGATAATGGAGAAGGTATATTAAACTAATTATTCTAAAAAGGCTTTAATTTGTATACATTGTCAATGTAAAACTTTTTTACGTATGCATCCCATCAAATCACACCATAGTGTCACATGTAGATATTTGTGGAGACACTTTAGGAACTAACTTAAGAAAATGACACTATAATGTGATTTAATTGGATACACATGTAGAAAAGTTTTACACCGTCGGTCAATGCATAGAAATTAATCTCTTCTAAAATAAACCTTTAATATTACTTGCTTTCTCTCTCTGACTATCATAGTATTCTACCAATTATGTCCTCAATATCATAGTTGTTTTTGAACTACTGCAGGTGGTACTTTTGCGTTATACTCCTTGATTTGTCGTCATGCTAAGGTGAGTCTTCTCCCCAATCAGTTGGCATCAGATATGCGTATATCAAGCTTTAGGCTAAAGGTGCCATCCCCCGAGCTTGAAAGGTCATTAAAAATCAAGGATAGACTTGAGGGTTCTCTAACTCTAAAGAAGACTCTGCTGATATTAGTGCTTGCTGGTACTTCTATGGTGATTGCTAATGGTGTTGTAACACCAGCAATGTCAGGTTATTAACTGCTATTACTTTATTTTGCCAAAAATCTGGTGTTATTGATACCCATAACATACCGGTAATGATACCTTGTTACCTGTGTTTGTGGACAATCAGTGTTTTCATCGCCATTTGACTACTGTATTTAGTGTTTTGTTTTGTATAATAATGCTCACTTTCTATCTATGTCTTTTTGCAGTATTGTCATCTGTTGGTGGTTTAAAAGTTGGGATAGATGCAATCAAGCAAGGTATTACATTAACCTATAAATCAACTCTGTTATATATATGTAACCAGGGCCGGTCCAAGGCAGTGAAGTAAGGGTTTTAGGCCTCAACAAAAAAAATTCTGTCATTAGCTATTTTTTTATAGAAAAAAAAGGAAAGGCCCAACTTTAAGGTCACTCATTTCAAATGCGTCTCAAAAATTTGCTTCAGGCCTTTCTCACTGTTGGGTGGCTCTGTCTGTAATAATAGTTATTGATACTTAGATTTGACATTGTTGCCATCAAGACCAACTTTAGATGTAAATATCTGGTGAGATCCAACAATCAACTTCTCTTGAGGAAGAACATTGTCTGAATTCCCATACTTTTAGGTTTTGTTTGGGAGTTCGGAGGGGAAGGGAGGGGATGACTTTGAAAAAAAGAGAAGGATAGAGTGGAAAGAATTGAAGGATTCGGGTAGGAGGATTGTGGAGGGGTTATTTCTATTATGATACAAAATCCCCCAGTTTCAAACTCAAATTTTATGCTAGACAAGGGTTTTGGAGGGCTTGCATAAATATTTTATGTAGTTATAATATTCTAAAATAAAAAATATAGTAGTAATAAACATTCATTTATCATTCTATACAAAACTATAATTTCAAAAAATGTTGAATATTTCTCTAATTTTTACTTCCAAACCCTTCCCCCAGAGCCCTCTCTCTCCCTCCCCTCCAAACTCGCTAACAAAGCCTTAAGTGGGTGTCTTTCTTCTGCAATAGCCTGGCACTACCCGGAGAAGGAAAACACTCCACACGCAGTCTTAAGAATGAATATAGAAGTCAAGGACCCTAGACGTTGGAAAGACTAAGGAGGCTTAGCTTGATTATGAAAATGAACGACAAGCATGTTTCCCGTGTTGACACAACTCACAAGACAAAGTTGATATATTGGGCAAGTTTTGCACCAATTTATGGAACTTTGCAAAGCCAGGGTAGCACGGTTTAGCATATATTAGAAGGGGAAATTTGTGTTAGTACAACAATAAGGATGAGTGGTGAGTTGGTAGAGGTCGTTAGACTTGCTTATGATCCCAATTATTTGACCTCAACTCCAGTTCTACAGCATTTACTATGTTTACGTGATAACACACAAGCATAACTGTCCTGTATATACATGATTTCTAACAGTTTACAACAAATATTTACTACTGTCTATTAACTTGGTCTGAGAGAATGGAAAACCTTTTTTGTTTTAGTTTTGTTTCTGAGGGGGATAGGTAGGTGGCTTATTAATAAGCTGAGTTGATTTATAATTTATGGTTTGGTCATTTCTACAGCTGCATTAATCTTTTCTCCATTTTTAACTATGCAGATGAAGTGGTGATGATTTCAGTTGCCTGCCTGATTGTTTTGTTCAGTGTACAAAAGTTTG